AAGGTTCACCCGTATATATATGAATACAAAAGCTGTTTGTATACGTACAAAACCTATTTAGACTTTGTGCAACAACATCTGTTTTATTTATTTTGTTAGCGAAAATAAAACCCATATGAATATATATGTTTTTTTTTGTCTAAAAGTAGTAAAAAATAAGACAGATCTATTCTCAAAAATTCTTTGAACTTAACGTATTTTGACGACGCATGATTCAGTCGGCATATATTGTTGAAAAATGAAAAGTTTTATTTTATCTATTTTATTTCGTTCTACACAATTGTATTTCTTTTTATCTGTTATTTTGAATCAACTATCGTCGGTCACATTTGACTGATGATGTCTTTTGAATAAAGACGAAACGTTTAACAAAAAATAGTCTATTTTCATGCTTATAAAGGTGGTTTATCTCTTATTATCTGCATTTTTTTTGCCAGAAAAGAGAATGAAATGCTGCAGAGTAGAAAAGTATTCTTTAAAAAACCCAGAATTTTTCTACGAAACCCTCTTTCTACCGAACCTTTAGAGGTTTCGAATTCGTTTCAAAAGTATAAACCTTTAAAGGTTCTGGGAGGAACCATTTTTTTTTAGAGAGTAGGTGCTGGGAAAAATTTTGAAATCTTTGGTTTGCAATTGTTTCGTGAATTATCAAAAACAACAAAAGAAAATATCTTCATATCACCAGCAAGTATATCAATGGCATTATCAATGGCTACGTTGGGTGCTTCACAACGAACATTAAGCCAATTATTACAAGTATTAAATGTAACATCGATTGATGATATAAATTGTAGATCAGCATCAATATTATCAACAACAGCAAGAATGGCTGATGATAAAATAATACAAATACATTTAGCCAATCGAATATATATTGAAGAACAATTCCATCTACGAGAAGAGTTTATTGAACGGTTGGAGGAAATTTATTTAACAACAATTAAATCAGTTCGTTTTAGTAGTAAAACACAAACTATTAAGGAAGTTAATCACTGGATTGAAGAACAAACCAATAAACTGATTAAGAATATGTTAAACGAACGAAGTATTGATCGAGATACGGTTATGGTTATCATTAATTGTATCTATTTCAAAGGTAAGACACTTTACCGGGCTATTTTCAGTGAGGGATACCGATGTTTAAGATAATAAATTTGAAAACGTCGAATTGTTTCGGTGGTTTTCAAACTGGTCGTTTGAACTAAAAAGATTTTCTTCACTATCAATTTTCTGCCTTTGTTCTACACAACAAGATCTGGGTAAAATTGCTTAACATAACGTTTCATCACACAGTCGACACGGACGAGGGCTTATAGGAGGCCAAATCGGCTCACTTGGCCTTCTGCCATCTTTATTCAGCACCATTGATAGAAAATTCATGTTTGGAAACATTTTTGAGTTAAAAACCGAATAAGAGTTTGGCGTCACAAGACGTAATTGAGTCTATGCATCCGGATGATTAGAGATGGAGAAAAGCGAGTGAGTCCATTTGGCTTTTTATGAGCCCCGCGCTTGGAAGAATAATTAGGACGGTAATCAATGGAAATATACAACTCATAGCTACCGATTGTGATTGCATTTACAGTCACAAAATTTAATAATGTCCTTTATTTAGTCGCAGGAGTTTCAGGTACGCTCTAAAACAAATCACAAATAAAAGCTTAAATATTTGAAAAATGAATCAATTACACCGTTACAGCGATGAATTAAGACTTTCTAGGAAGAGGTAATGGCAATTTTAAGAGTTAAGTAAAGGAATTTTAAGAGCTGATCACCGGTATGAGGGCGGGATAGTGATAAGAGCAGATGGTTAATAATTTAAGAGTAAATGAATAATTCAAGACATATCACAAAAGAGCATGGTACTTTTAAGAGGTCCTAAGAAGAGGTGGTGGTAAAGTTAAGAGATTCTAAGAGTTATCTGCAGGAGACGGCTTTGAACTTAAAAATGTTTTAAGAAGAGAGGCGGACGTTTTCAGCTTTTTTAAGGGGGTT